TATATTATTTCTATAACACAACACTTTTTATATGTGTTAATTATTTTACTTTTATGTGTTAATCCAATAAAACTTAATTTCCAACATCTTTATTATGGAAACTTTGACAAATTCTGATATTGACTCATATGTCCTAACATAAACAGTATCCTAAGCGTCTAGCCATGTCTAAGATTCTTTGAAATTTATCATTGGTTATTTATTTCCAGTAATTATTGTCAAAACTTGAAAGTTAAAATATATTTTTTAAATCTGTTTTAAATCAATTTCAAACCTCCATGTGCAACACATGGAGGTTTGAAATTGATTAAAACAGATTTAAAATATTCAACTGTAGTATTGTAGTAATATATATTTATACGTTTGTACGGATCCAGTGCAAATATTGGATCTTACTGTCGTTTTTACTTATGAGGCCTATATTTATGTGTGTGTGTGTGTGTGTGTGTTTGTGTGTGTAATTTTACATTTCAAAATATATATATATATAATTCATGTTAATATTTTAAGTCTGTTTTTATAAATCCTATATTTGATTTACTGCATTTAAAAAACAAATGGGGATATAAAGATATAAATAAGGGTGCTATTATCTGTTAGACTATTTCCATTCAAACATTGGCAAGCTATTTTGATCGCAAATCTGATGTGTGCGTAATATGCATAATTGGCCAGGCAAAAACAAAACTCCATTTTAACTCATTGTGCACATACATATCAAACATTTTTTGTACTGCATGTGCCCTACAGTAATTGAATTATCTCCTTGTCCTTCCGTTTGTCTGTCTGTCCATCCTTCAATCCACATTTTTCATTTCGAGAGATGTTCTGGGTCTAAATGATCAATCGTTTTTGAAAGTTTGTAGGGTAATACATTGTGATTTGTAGATGTGCAATAGATATTAAAAAAATTGTCTAGGGTCAAGATCAATCAATATATACAATTCTTTATGTGGTTGTCGGGTAACTTTCGCCAAAAATAAAAAGAGAAATGAAGTGGTGTTGGTTTCTTTATAGTTTTTTATCATCAATTTTATTTAAGTATTTAGAAACTTGACATCAAGCTTTTTGTAACTAAATGGATTGAAGTTTATAAAGCAAGACATATTCATATACAAAAAAATAACGTTAGCCTTTCTACATGCTTAATGCTAGCTTAAAACCCGTGTATAACTCTTACAAAAAATAAATGGCTTTTTATATTATTGAAAAAGAAACCATATATAACTCTTGCATATATTTATTGGTATTTTTTTATATTATTGAAAAAGAAACCATATGTAACTCTTGCATATATTTATTGTTTTTTTTTTATATTATTGGAATAGAAACCATATATAACTCTTACATATATATATTTGTGTTTATATTATTGAAAAAGAACCCAACCGCACATTCTGGATGTGCCGCTCAGTATGACTTTGTGAAGATGAACCTCTGACTTCAGCAGTACGCATTCCTTACCACATAGAGAAGGATGTCACAGAGATTGTTGCTAATTCATCATCTAAGGTCATCAGCCACCAAACCCCAAACAGCTGTCTACACTATCAACAACTCTCGCAAGACAGAACCCCTACCCGACCCTACCAAAGACATGAAGGCACGCATCAATCAGTCAGAGAGTAAGATAGAGGGATTACTAGACCAGCCCAGTACCAGTACTCCGCTACAACAATTGTCTGATGTTTTTTGAGTTCTCAATTCCCCCTTGCAACAACTACCCATGAACTACAACAATGAAAGAAAGGATATCTATGACTTCAACGGGACTTTGGTATCTGATACCTTCCGACATCCTCAGCAGGGACACCACAACATTGCTGGAGCTGCCAGGACGTTTTTACCCATCTACTCAACACATCATAACAGCATTGACATTGACCTAAACAAGGTCTCCAGTAGGAATCAGAGGGACCTCAGTTCATAGAACCTGGTTAATGCCATGTTTCAGCTCGGTGAACTTCACAAAAGGAATGTTAACGCCCGAGACAGTCGGACAATGACTCGATGAACTTTATAAGACAGCATGATTTTAAGCTCGCGCCCTGATTGCAATCAGATGGGAGCAAGTGGTGGAGTGTTTGTGTTAAGACAATTGACAAATCAACAGTATATGTGGTCATTGCTCTAGATAAGAAGTTCGACCTAGAACCCATCCTCCACTGCAGAGTTATATTCAGGTTAAATTCCGTTTTTATTAGCTCAACTGGTCCGAAGGACCATGTTGAGCTTATGCCATATCGCAGCGTCCGTCGTCCGTCCGTCCGTCAACTTTTTCTTTTAAACGCTGAACGGCCAAGTAGTGTTTGACTAAATTTGGTCTGGAGCATCCTTAGGCCAAGGGGACTCAATGTTGTATAAGCCGTGGGTGTGGCCCCCCTCGGGCCAGAGGGGCGGGGCCCAATAGGGTTAATAGAGGTAAACCTTAAAAATCCTTCTTTTACCGTAGGAATTAATGGATTTTATCCTAATTTAGTCTGGAGCGTCCTTATGCCAAGGGAACTCAATTTTTCATAAACGGTGGTTGTGGCACCCCTGGGGGCAGAGGGGCGGGGCCCAATAGGGGAAATAGAGGTAAAAACTTTAAAATCCTTCTTCTACCGTAGGGATTGAGGGCTTTTAGTCTAATTTAGTCTGGAGCATCTTTAGGCCAAGGGGACTAAATTTTGTATAAACAGTGTGTGTGGTACCCCCTTGGGGGCAGAGAAGCGGGGCCCAATAAGGGAAACATAGCAAATTCTTCAAAATCCTTCTTTTTCTAAAGGAATGACAGGATTTTGTCCAAATTTGGTATGAAGCACCCTTGGGTGAAGGGGAACCAATTTTGTATGAATTGTGGGTCTGACCCCCCTGGGGTCAGAGAGGAGGGGCCAAATAAGGGTTATAGAGGAATAGCTTTAATATCCTTCTTCTTCCTTTTCGGATGAAGGTATTTTGATTAAATTTGAACAGTAGCATTCTATTTGGAAAGTAAATCAGTTTTGTATACAGGGTGGGTTTGAACCCCTGGGGCCTGAGGGGCGGGCCCAATAGAGGAAACATAGCAAATTTTTCAAAATCCTGTTTCCTCTGTAGGAATGACAGGAAATTGATTAAATTTTGGATGAAGCACCCTTGGGTGAAAGGGAAGTAATTTCGCATAAACGGTGGGTCTCGCCCCATTAGGGCAGAGAGGTGGGGCCCAATAAGGAATATAGAGGAATAGCTTTAATATCCTTCTTCTGTAGGAATGACAGGATTATGTCCATATTTGGTCTAAAACATCCTTTGGTGAAGGGGACATATTTTTGTATCAACAAAATGTCAATATGTCTGATCCCCCTGTGGGCAGAGGGGCGGGGCGATATAGGGGAAAGACAGCAATTTCTTCGAAATCCTCCATTTACTTTAGGAATGATAGGATTCTGTCCAATTGCATATAAATATAACCCCTGACTAACCATGTAATACATGTACACTTTCAGTAACATCTTGCTATTTCACTTCAATTTTGCTAACAAAGTTCCAGGTGAGCGATACAGGCCATCTGAGTCTCTTATATTTTAAATTGCAGTATATTTATTTTCTATTTCTAATCGATTATTCATTAAGCTGATTTATTTAAATTTGTAGTCAAAATAATTATTGAGTAAACCAATAAGTAATTCTTGATCATCAAAACGAAAATCACAATTTATGAATAGACAAGTTTAAGGTGTGGTAGGCAAGATACAAAACAGTTCGATTTTATACACATATTTAATTTCCTGTACATGTTCACGATTTGTGAATGACAACATATGATGCGATTCCCTCAAAGTGTGTTATACAGTAGATGTTTGGTGAAAGTAGACTAAAATAAGCAGTTGATGAAAAGAAGTTATTCTTTCGTTCAAGAAAACAATGGTGTCATATTAATCTCTAGTATTCCTAATACTGCCATATGAAATATATTATATAACTGCAGGAGTGTCTTAATAATTCCACTAAGAGCAACATAACACACAGTACAACACATGTGGACTTAGAATTCTATTAACTTCACGTTGTGGCCGCGACAGTCAGTTTCTAGGCGAGAAGGCCCTCTTTGTAAAATATCTTTTAAATTTAACAAATGACCTTTTCAACACAGTTCTTGAACACGACAGCAAATCTACATGCGCACATATTATAGAGAGTTACAACATCAAATACATGGTTCTAAAACACATGGTTCTAAAACACACCACGTGCTCTATCCGGGCCATACACTATCTACAATTCCGCAGTCCCCCGTCAATCAATGCACGATGTCACCCAAATCATAAAAGTTGACCTCAAATGTACTTTTGACCAAGTGCTGCTCTCTATTAATACCCACTATCTTACAAATTATAAGATGGTTCCATTCTTTATTTTAATTACCTAATATGCAGCCCATTTTGTTACATTCAGGTGAATGATATACCTTAATTATGATGATGATATTCAAGTACATTGAAACACTCATTTGGAATACTATAGCACTATTAGTACAAGTTACATTAGGCTTGAATCAAGAGCGACCTCCCTTTGCACGAACGACGTTGGGAATCACTTTTCCAAGATGTTCTATTATCTATTACACTCATTTTGCTCCAAAATGTGCAAATGTCATTGGGTAGTTCCTGCTTGTTACGTGGTTTTGTGCATTTTATGATATGATGCCTTAATGCAGCCCAAATGTTTTTGACTGGAGTCCTGTCTGGTGATTCAGGAGGGGTTGGCCAATGATCTATGTTGTCTTGTCTCATGAATTCAACAGTTGATAACATGCTTTGGGTCGTTGTTCTGCATCAGACAATACCCAGTGGGGAAGCCCCTGTTGACAACCGGAAGTAGTCTTGAGGAAAGACTTCCTAGGTAATAAGTGGAGACCATGCTTCCGGTTAATATATATATGTAGGTAGCTCCTTTTAACGAGATTCCTGTCCAGACATGTACTTGGAATAGGTGTTTAGACTTGAGTACTTTCTGATCTCTTTTTATATAGACATTTTCTATGTGTTAGGTGTAGTTGTTGTTGTGGTAGGTTTAGTTATTGTAGTGGTAGGTGTAGTTGTTGTAGTGGTTGGTGTAGTTGAAGTGATGGTAGGTGTAGTTATTGTAGTGGTAGGTGTGATTGTGGTAGTGGTAGGTGTAGTTGTTTTGATGGTAGGTGTAGTTATTGTAGTGGTAGGTGTAGTTGTTGTAGTGGTAGGTGTAGTTGTTGTAGTGGTAGGTGTGGTGGTTGTAGTGGTAGGTGTAGTTGTAGTTGTGGTAGGTGTAGTTGTTGTAGTGGTAGGTGTAGTTGAAGTGGCGGTAGGTGTGGTGGTTGTTGTGGTAGGTGTAGTTGTTGTAGTGGTAGGTGTGGTGGTTGTTGTGGTAGGTGTAGTTGTTGTAGTTGTTGGTGTAGTTGTTGTAGTTGTTGGTGTAGTTGAAGTGATGGTAGGTGTAGTTGTTGTAGTTGTAGGTGTAGTTGTAGTTGTGGTAGTTGTAGTTGTTGTAGTGGTAGGTGTAGTTGTTGTAGTAGTAGTTGTAGTTGTGGTAGTGGTAGGTGTAATTGTTGTAGTGGTAGGTGTAGTTGTGGAAGTGGTAGGTGTAGTTGTTGTAGTGGTAGGTGTAGTTGTTGTAGTGGTAGGTGTAGTTGTTGTAGTGGTAGGTGTAGTTGTTGTAGTGGTAGGTGTAGTTGTTGTAGTGGTAGGTGTAGTTGTTGTAGTGGTAGGTGTGGTGCTTGTAGTGGTAGGTGTAGTTGTGGTAGTGATAGGTGTGGTGGTTGTAGTTGTGGTAGGAGTAAGTGTGGTGGTTATAGGGATTGTAGTTGAGGGAGAACACTTACACAATAAAGCTGGGCAAAATGGCGGAGAGTAATTACAGTTTATATCACACCAGGTGTCAGCGATATTTGCAGAAATAGATACACACGTGGTAGTTGTAGTTGGTGTAGTGGTAGGTGTAGTTGTTGTAGTTGTAGGTGTAGTTGTGGTAGTGGTAGGTGTGGTGCTTGTAGTGGTAGGTGTAGTTGTTGTAGTGGTAGGTGTAGTTGTGGTAGGTGTAGTTGTGGTAGTGGTAGGTGTAGTTGTTGTAGTGGTAGGTGTAGTTGTTGTAGTGGTAGGTGTAGTTGTGGTAGTGGTAGGTGTGGTGCTTGTAGTGGTAGGTGTAGTTGTGGTAGTGATAGGTGTGGTGGTTGTAGTTGTGGTAGGAGTAAGTGTGGTGGTTATAGGGATTGTAGTTGAGGGAGAACACTTACACAATAAAGCTGGGCAAAATGGCGGAGAGTAATTACAGTTTATATCACACCAGGTGTCAGCGATATTTGCAGAAATAGATACACACGTGGTAGTTGTAGTTGGTGTAGTGGTAGGTGTAGTTGTTGTAGTTGTAGGTGTAGTTGTGGTAGTGGTAGGTGTGGTGCTTGTAGTGGTAGGTGTAGTTGTTGTAGTGGTAGGTGTAGTTGTGGTAGGTGTAGTTGTGGTAGTGGTAGGTGTAGTTGTTGTAGTGGTAGGTGTAGTTGTTGTAGTGGTAGGTGTAGTTGTGGTAGTGGTAGGTGTGGTGCTTGTAGTGGTAGGTGTAGTTGTGGTAGTGATAGGTGTGGTGGTTGTAGTTGTGGTAGGAGTAAGTGTGGTGGTTATAGGGATTGTAGTTGAGGGAGAACACTTACACAATAAAGCTGGGCAAAATGGCGGAGAGTAATTACAGTTTATATCACACCAGGTGTCAGCGATATTTGCAGAAATAGATACACACGTGGTAGTTGTAGTTGGTGTAGTGGTAGGTGTAGTTGTTGTAGTTGTAGGTGTAGTTGTGGTAGTGGTAGGTGTGGTGCTTGTAGTGGTAGGTGTAGTTGTTGTAGTGGTAGGTGTAGTTGTGGTAGGTGTAGTTGTGGTAGTGGTAGGTGTAGTTGTTGTAGTGGTAGGTGTAGTTGTTGTAGTGGTAGGTGTAGTTGTGGTAGTGGTAGGTGTGGTGCTTGTAGTGGTAGGTGTAGTTGTGGTAGTGATAGGTGTGGTGGTTGTAGTTGTGGTAGGAGTAAGTGTGGTGGTTATAGGGATTGTAGTTGAGGGAGAACACTTACACAATAAAGCTGGGCAAAATGGCGGAGAGTAATTACAGTTTATATCACACCAGGTGTCAGCGATATTTGCAGAAATAGATACACACGTGGTAGTTGTAGTTGGTGTAGTGGTAGGTGTAGTTGTTGTAGTTGTAGGTGTAGTTGTGGTAGTGGTAGGTGTGGTGCTTGTAGTGGTAGGTGTAGTTGTTGTAGTGGTAGGTGTAGTTGTGGTAGGTGTAGTTGTGGTAGTGGTAGGTGTAGTTGTTGTAGTGGTAGGTGTAGTTGAAGTGGTGGAAGGTGTAGTTGTCGTAGTGGTAGGTGTAGTTGTGGTGGTGGTAGGTGTAGTTGAAGTGGTGGTTGGTGTAGTTGTTGTTGTTGTGGGAGTAGTTGTTGTGGTGGTAGGTGTAGTTGTTGTAGTGGTAGGTGTAGTTGAGGTGGTGGTAGGTGTAGTTGAGGTGGTGGTAGGTGTAGTTGAGGTAGTGGTAGGTGTAATTGTTGTAGTGGTAGGTGTAGTTGTCGTAGGGGTAGAAGTGGTAGTTGTGGTGATAGGTATAGCGGTACATTGGCACAAAATACTTGGGCAATATTGCGGAATGTGATTGCAGTTGGCGTCACACCAAGAATCTTGGACGCTTTTAGAAATAGATACACATTTACCAGCGGATCTCTGGTTAGAGTTCAGAGAGAGAGAAGCATGGACATTAACGGCAATGGGAGAATTATTTGGTTCTGTTCTAGAACTGGCTATATCAGTTTCTTTGATGGCAATGTCGGAACATGCATAAAATTCTTCTTGGTCTTCGCATATTTCACAATTTTCTCCGGAGTTGTCCAGAGTGCTTCCTACAACACCAAGCATACACAAATTAAGTTTAGCAATTGGTTCCTAATGATTTAACTTATTTCTATAAAACAATAAAGCATTCTTCAATAAGCTAACACAACTAATACATCTAAATGTCGTAATACAATGTAAGTGGATGGTAAAACGTGCTTTCATTTTCCTCTCTGTATGTTTTACAAGTTTAACATTGAACTCGCTTATGGGATAGTAGGTTAATATATCAGTAGTAAAGTACTTTTATACAAATCCTAATGTAGAGTCGGTAAATGTAGTAATGCAATTTATGATATCCATTTATTGTAGAGCTGGGTTATGTTTTAGTAATAGCAAATTAAATCCGGTAATTGCAGGACAGGAGTATGTATAAGTAGAACAACATAAATCCGTTCATTGTAAACAGGTTTTTTATTAGTAATATCAACGTGAATAAGTTGATTGAGACGCAGGTTAATGTATTAGTAAAATCAACGTAAATCTGTTTTTTTTTACAACAGGCTAATTTATAAGCAAAATCAACATAAAGCTGTTTTTTATTGTAGAACAGGTTTTTGCATAGGTAAAACACAACTAAAATCGGTTGATTGTAGAACAGGTTAATGCATAGGTAAAACACAACTAAAATCGGTTGATTGTAGAACAGGTTAATGCATAGGTAAAACACAACTAAAATCGGTTGATTGTAGAACAGGTTAATGCATAGGTAAAACACAACTAAAATCGGTTGATTGTAGAACAGGTTTATGTATAAGTAAATATAATCTAAATCCGTTTATTGAATAGCAGGTTCACGTTTCAAACACAACATAAATACGTTATTTGAATTGCAGGTTTATGAATAAGTAAAATCAACTGAAATTCTTTTATTGTAGAATTGGGTAATGTTTTAATATAATCAACATAATTCCGTTAATTGTAAACAGGTTAATGAATTAGTAAAAACAAATTAAGACCTTTTTTTGCAGAGCACGGTTGTGTACTAATATAAAACAACTATAATCCAACTATTGTAGTGTTATATATTAATGAAAACAAAACGTATTCCGAATATTGTAGAGCTGATCTATGTATTAAAAAAACACCCTTATTCCGTTTATTGTAAATAGGTTTATGAATAAGTAAAATCAACTTAAATTAGTTTATTGTAAACAGGTTTATGCATTGGTAAAAATAACTTATTTCCGTTCATTGTAAAGTATGTTAACGTATCAGTTAAATCAAATTAAATCCGTAGTTATAAAGCAGGTTTATATATCAATTAAAACAACTTAAATCCGGTTAATGAAGACCAGGGTAATATATTCGTAAAACACCTAAAATCCAGTTATTGTAAAGTTTGTCAATGTGTTTGTTAATCCACATAAATTCGTTAACTGTAAAGCAGATGTACGTATCAGCCTCATGCGTTTTGTGTATGTTTTGTATACGTGTATGTGTTTAAGTATGTGTGAGGCATTATATTTCGTGGGTTATCTCCCTTGTAAAAGAGTGGACCGATGCCGACATTATAGTGCTACCTGTCTGAAATGTCACGATGAAGGCACCCAGCTCAGTATTCCAGTGGTCACATTATAATTACAAGGGGTAATGCAATGCTGATCGTTCAGCAGGGATAGCTTATCGTTCAGCAGGGATAGCTGATCATCGTTCAGCAGGGATAGCTTATCGTTTAGCAGGGATAGTTTATCGTTCAGCAGGGATAGCTGATCGTTTAGCAGGGATAGTTTATCGTTTAGCAGGGATAGCTTATCGTTAAGCAGGGATAGCTTATCGATTAGCAGGGATAGCTTATCGTTTAGCAGGGATAGCTTATCTTTTAGCGGGGAGAGCTGATCGTTTAGAAGGGATTATCGTTTAGCAGGGATAGTTTATCGTTTAGCAGAGTTAGCTGATCGTTTAGCAGGGATGGCTTATCGTTTAGTAGGGATAGCTTATCGTTTAGCGGGGAGAGCTTATCGTTTAGAAGGGATAGCTGATCGTTAAGCAGGGATAGCTTATCGTTCAGCAGGGATAGTTTATCCTTCAGCAGGGATAGCTTATCGTTTAGCGGGGAGAGCTTATCGTTTAGAAGGGATAGCTGATCGTTTAGCAGGGATAGTTTATCGTTTAGCAGAGATAGCTGATCGTTTAGCAGGGATGGCTTATCGTTTAGCAGGGAAGGCTTATCGTTTAGCAGGGATAGCTTATCGTTTAGCAGGGATAGTTTATCGTTCAGCAGGTATAGCTGATCGTTTAGCAGGGATAGCTGATCGTTCAGCAGGGATAGCATAGCTGATCGTTTAGCAGGGATAGCTTATCGTTCAGAAGGGATAGCTGATCGTTTAGCAAGGAAAGCTTATCGTTCAGCAGGGATAGCTGATCGTTTAGCATGGATAGCTTATCGTTCAGCAGGGATAGTTTATCGCTTAGCAGAGATAGCTTATCGTCCAGCAGGGATAGCTTATCGTTCAGCAGGAGATAGCTTATCGTCCAGCAGGGATAGCTTATCGTTCAGCAGGAATATCTTATCGTTTAGCGGGGAGAGCTGATCGTTTAGAAGGGATTATCGTTTAGCAGGGATAGTTTATCGTGCAGCAGGGATAGCTGATCGTTCAGCAGGGGTAGCTTATCGTTCAGCAGGGATAGCTTATCCTTCAGCAGGGATAGCTTATCGTTTAGCGGGGAGAGATGATCGTTTAGAAGGGATAGCTGCTCGTTTAGCAGGGATAGCTTATCGTTCAGAAGGGATAGCTGATCGTTTAGCAGGGATGGCTTATCGTTTAGTAGGGATAGCTTATCGTTTAGCAGGGATAATTTATCGTTCAGCAGGGATAGCTGATCGTTCAGCAGGAATAGCTTATCGTTTAGCAGGGATAGTTTATCGTTCTGAAGGGATAGCTGATCGTTTAGCAGGGAAAGCTTATCGTTTAGCAGGGATAGCTTATCCTTCAGCAGGGATAGCTTAACGTTTAGCAGGGATAGTTTATCGTTCAGCAGCGATAGCTTCTCGTTTAGCAGGGATAGCTTATCGTTCAGAAGGGATAGCTGATCGTTTAGCAAGGAAAGCTTATCGTTCAGCAGGGATAGCTGATCGTTTAGCAGGGATGGCTTATCGTTTAGCAGGGATGGCTTATCGTTTAGTAGGGATAGCTTATCGTTTAGCAGGGATATCTTATCGTTCAGCAGTAATAGCTTATCGTTTAGCAGGGATATCTTATCGTTCAGCAGTAATAGCTTATCGTTTAGCAGGGATATCTTATCGTTCAGCAGGGATAGCGCAGGGATAGCTTATCGTTCAGCAGGGAAAGTTTATCCTTCAGCAGGGATAGCTTATCGTTTAGCAGGGAAAGCTTATCGTTCCTTATCGTCCAGCAGGGATAGCTTATCCTTCAGCAGGGATAGCTTATCGTTTAGCAGGGATAGCTTATCGTTCAGCAGGGATAGCTTATCGTTCAGCAGGAATATCTTATCGTTTAGCAGGGATAGTTTATCGTTCAGAAGGGATAGCTGATCGTTTAGCAGGGAAAGCTTATCGTTCAGCAGGGATAGCTTATCCTTCAGCAGGGATAGCTTAACGTTTAGCAGGGATAGTTTATCGTTCAGGAGGGATAGCTGATCGTTTAGCAGGGAAAGCTTATCGTTCAGCAGGGATAGCTGATCGGTTAGCAGGGATAGCTGATCGTTCAGCAAGGATAGCTGATCGTTTAGCAGGGATAGATTATCGTTCAGCAGGGATAGTTTATCGTTTAGCAGAGATAGCTTATCGTTTAGCAGGGATAGCTTATCGGTCAGCAGGGATAGCTTATCCTTCAGCAGGGATAGCTTATCGTTTAGCAGAGATAGCTTATCGTTTAGCAGGGATAGCTTATCGTTCAGCAGGGATAGTTTATCGTTTTGCAGAGATAGCTTATCGTCCAGCAGGGATAGCTTATCTTTCAGCAGGGATGGCTTATCGTCCAGCAGGGATAGCTGATCGTTCAGCAGGGATAGTTTATCGTTCAGCAGGGATAGCTTATCGTTCAGCAGGAATAGCTTATCGTTTAGCAGGGAGAGCTTATCGTTTAGCAGAGATAGCTTATCGTTCAGCAGGGATAGCTTATCGGTCAGCAGGGATAGCTGATCGTTCAGCAGGGATAGTTTATCGTTTTGCAGAGATAGCTTATCGGCCAGCAGGGATAGCTTATCTTTCAGCAGGGATGGTTTATCGTCCAGCAGGGATAGCTGATCGTTCAGCAGGGATAGTTTATCGTTCAGCAGGGATAGCTTATCGTTCAGCAGGGATAGCTTATCGTTTAGCAGGGATAGCTTATCGTTCAGCAGGGATAGCTGATCGTTCAGCAGGGATAGCTTATCGTTTAGCAGAGATAGCCGATCGTTTAGCAGGGATAGCTTATCGTTTAGCAGAGATAGCTTATCGTTTTGCAGGGATAGCTAATCGTTCAGCAGGGATAGCTTATCGTTTAGCGGGGAGAGCTGATCGTTTAGAAGGGATAGCTGATCGTTTAGCAGGGAAAGCTGATCGTTTAGCAGGGATAGCTGATCGTTTAGCAGGGATAGCTTATCGTTCCGCAGGGATATCTTATCGTTCAGCAGGGATAGCTGATCGTTTAGCAGGGATAGCTGATCGTTTAGCAGGGAAAGCTGATCGTTTAGCAGGGATAGCTTATCGTTTAGCAGAGATAGCTTATCGTTTAGCAGGGATAGCTAATCGTTCAGCAGGGATAGCTTATCGTTTAGCAGGGATAGCTGATCGTTTAGCAGGGATAGCTGATCGTTCAGCAAGGATAGCTGATCGTTCAGCAAGATAGCTTATCGTTCAGCAGGGATATCTTATCGTTCAGCAGGGATAGCTGATCGTTTAGCAGGGATAGCTTATCGTTCAGCAGGAATAGCTGGTCGTTCAGCAAGGATAGCTGATCGTTCAGCAAGGATAGCTGATCGTTTAGCAGGGAAAGCTTATCGTTCAGCAGGGATATCTTATCGTTTAGCAGGGATAGCTTATCGTTTAGCAGGGATAGCTTATCGTTCAGCAGGGATAGCTGATCGTTCACTAAGGCAAACTGTGAGGTTGTGCCGAGCAATGCGTTAGGATACAGTGCTTGTTGTTAGGGAGAAGAAGAAAAGAAATATTCCAAATACTGAAAGGGGTGCAACAGATTAATTTTGGTCGCTTCGGTGTCTCAAAAGCAAATCCCCAAGAATGTTTACAAGCAGTTGGTTACAACAGGTGCATTCTTTTCTCAGTCCCCGACCTGTAGGGGAGACTTTCGCCGGTTCCGCGTGACCAAAATAGGGAATTGGACAATTTGTCATTGAATTAAGATAATAGAAATGACGTGAAAATCATCCGCTATACTTTTTTTCAATATCTGGAGATAAAGCCTAGCAATTTTTTTTCCTCCCTCGTTTACTGCCGTCTTGTTTCAATATTCAAGATGCAATTTTGAAGAACAAAATTTAAAGTACATATTTGAAGTAACAATAAATGTTCCTGGTGATGGCATTTTGCTGGTCAAATTATGGCTCTGTAAGATTTTACTGTATCTATGATAGAAAATAATAACATCATAGTTAGTCATTCTTAAGTTATGAAATAACCTGCCAGCCTAATAAAACTTGCCTGTGCGAAACCTCCATTGTATGACACATTGTGAACACGTCACATTCGCCGGAAGTTGTGCAGACACATCAATGTACTCTGTAGTGGCTGCGACCGGGTACATCGTCTCTCCTGTATCCGGATTAACCAACACGTGTTTTAAACATTTTCTTGTTATTCTTTTCGTCACATCATTATTTTCGCAGAGGCGAAATTCAAAGAATCCTTCTCGAATGTGTGTTATTTGTAATTTGATTGTGATGATTTCGGCCCTGTGATAGATTTTTGAGATGATCCCTGTGGCAAATTTCCCGCCAGCCTCGTTCTCCTTTGGACCCTGATCCAATCGGTCCCCGCATAGGCCACAGTTTCCGCTCAGAAAGTCGAGCGGTTGCTAAAACAACAATACTGACACATTTATTTAAAGCTATCCTATCTTCTGCCTGATTAGAAATCCTGATAACCCGGTAAGATGTGTTTTCTGTATTTCTCGACTCCAATTTTAGACTAACAATATTTGTGGACTGTAATGACATTTATGCTATTTAATTTTCTGCTATAATCAATGTTATTTCTTAATTGACAAACCACGTGACAAATTATGGTTTGCAATTAATACCGTTAACGGAAATGTGAGTAAATAAAACAACCTCATTTTAAAAGCAGATCAACTAATATAGACGATGTTTATGTGTGAACTTAAGTGCAACTTCTTCCAATTCCGTTTTAATAAGTGGCCACTATCTCGTCTCTAGGAAATGCCATTGAGCTAAAACTCAACATTGTCTACAAATGAGTTCTTCACAAAACAAATATATGGTTCTTTAAATGACAATATTCCAATTTTTTAACAGACTTATCACACCAGACAAATTCAAACTGTATTTCCTCGTGGATGAATATTTGCATAAAAAAAGCAATTGATAAAAGGCCAGGATGAGAAGTTACATGTTATAAGAAAAGTTTCTCGCAGTAGGGAACATGTTTAACAACAATGATTAAGTCCATGATGAATGAAAATGAGTGCCTGCCTTCATGGAGTTAAATTGGTAAATACATATGTTTTGTCTCCAATAGAAACTTCTTTGTCAGTTTTTAAAATGGAAACTGGTGGCAATCGAAAATACGTTTTCACGAGATACACATACGACTACAAAATGCTGGCATCACAATCAAGGCTTTTACTTGACACATATACATGTATCAGCCTAAGGAAGATTCACGAGGGATATGTAGAATAGAAACACTGTACTTTATGATTGATTAGAAACATTACAATAAAAAATAGCCTTTTTTGTGTGTATGTTACTGTTCTTTTCCCATGTTAAACTTAAATTACTTCATAAGAAAGTCGTTCCTTGTTTTCTTGTATCTGAAAATGCGAAACGGAGATGGAACAACATTCTTTGGAAGCAGTATAAAGGGAAAATATCTTTTTTTGTGACATCTCTACATTTCCTAGTTATAAATTTACAAATCTAAGAAATGATTTGAAGATTAAGTCAAATTTAAACCCAAACATGCATGACATCAACCCAAGTCACCTATTGTATAGAAGTAACATACATCATGTTGGGTTGAGGTCAAACGTATTGAAAGGTTTGGTCCAAACCACAATCAACAACTTCAGATATCTTACATATCGGTGTCCACAGTTAAGCCTATCGTCATCAAAGTTAACTGGAGTACCAAAACCAAACCGCCACATACTGCTTCTCCCAGGAGGATCCACCATTCGGCCGCGTCCATACACGACAACGAACACACCCATCCATGCGAAGACGAAGAAGCGTAGTTTGTGTGACAGCATTTGGGCAGATTTAACCTTTTAAAATCTGAAAATAAAGACAAAAGAATATTAAATAAATATTTAATGTATAAATGTCTTGAATGTTTTATATTTGGTAAAACGAATAGGAGTTGGGTACAAATGCTAATACAAACGATTTTATCTCAGAATACTACAATCTATCACGATCCGCAAGGCAGGGGTGCCCGATCGCGCCAAGTGGTCATCATAACATCCGTAATAACAACACATAAAAAGGAATAACACGTCCGGGGTCAAATTGAAGCAAAGATTAATATGTTCGCGGTCGACACTCAACTTTTTAGTGAAGACGAACAATCGATAGTTGAATCATTCAAAGTATTTAACATATATGCATCAGGTTCGAAAATTAATTGAAATAAAACCACTGGTATCTACCTTGGAAGATGGAAACATAAGTTTCTCAAATATTCCGTCTTTGCGTATTGCAGAGTTATCTTCTCTTGAGAGTAGGGATTGATTGTTACGTCATTTGTTTTTGAGAGTAACGTCATCATTTTTTGAGAAAACGACGTAATTTTCACACACAAACCAATGACGTAACAATCAATACCTGCTCTCAAGAGAAGATAACTCTGCATTACGCAAAGACGGAATAGAGCAATAAATTGGACAAAAACATATATTGAAATCTTAGGTGTGTATCACATGGCACGTAATCGATAATGATGCGGTATGGAAAAAAGAAAGAAAGAAAATCAATAACAGTTTGCAAGTATGAAAAACAAGAAATCTCTCCCCGTTTGGAAAAAAACATCATTATCAAATTATTAATTAAGTCTAAGGTATGTTATGAAATAAACCTCGTGGCATACAAGACAGATATTTGAAAAAATTAAACACATTTACAGCAAAAGGAAATTTATATAGAATAGGAAAAAAGATCTATTACAGAGAAATTTAGTCTGTTTCGAACAATCAAAGGGGGGTAAGTATAATGGATAAAAACACTATTCACATTAAGAAAACAAAAACAAAATTGATATACAAAATTATGCAAAAAATCACTACTAGATGGAATGCTATATGACCACACTGGCTGCATACTTTGGATGACAAATATCAAATAAATTACATTATGTATCTGTTATGCAAATTTTCTGACATCAATACCTTAAATCTTTCGCATATACCCAAGTTCTCCAGAAATATTTAAACAGCATGGTCCACACTTTTAAATGTCAGTATTCCACAAAATACAAACGAACTCCTAAAACAAGAACTGTTTGGTAACCTTATGATATAATTTAACAGAAAATCTTTGTTTTTTTATTTTGTTCACGAAAAGTGGCATAACACGATAGAAGATATATGGGACTATTGCAAAATAAGTTTTAAAACGATCAAGAAATCTATGGAAGGTTGATTGATAAAAGAAATCGCATTTCTGAATTTAAAAGCCTAAGACTGCTATTATCATAATAATAATAATTCGAGGTTATTATATACCGCTTTATCAAAAAAAAATAAAAAAAAAAAAAAAACTGAAACACGAGCTTTCGTTATATTGTAAATTGAAGCAAAAGAAAAAAGTTTCAGTTGAAACTGTATCATACTTGTATGCAAATATAAATTAATATCATGTTATAGAAAATAATGAGCATTAATGAGCACATAAAATGTAGAGCCTTAATGACGAATTGAAAAATAGATTGTGTGCTTCAGTGTGGAGCCTTGCCAATCATGTCGATAGCTCAGTTATATAAGAGTTGATATAACAATCACAGGGATTGAGCTCTCTTGATAAACGATCGGGCTAACGGGAACAGAACACATGTTCCGTCTAACAAACAAAAAACACAAATACTATGGCACCTAGTGATTGACACTGTACACAGCTAAACGGGTCGCTAACTTAATGATAGACGAAAAATAGCAAAACGCCCGATGTATAGTTAAATTCATGTCCAGCAATATATGTATTGCTTTTAATAATATTAATAATAACAATTCGAGGTTCTTATATACCGCTTTATCACAACCTAGTTCGTAGGTCGCCTCAAAGCTTTTCACAAATTATTATCCGTGGTTATAGGGCCTTTGCAACCAGCCAATATCTTTCTCAACTCCCTGGGGAGCATACAGCCAGAGCTGCCATTTCGGCGTTCACAGCTAGCATTCAACAATTCTAGCACTGCCCAACCACGTACTCATTCACAGCCGAGTAGACAGGAACAAGCAGAGTAGATTATCTTGCTCAAAGATACAATACAGATTGTGTGTAATGTTACATTACGTGCTATTGCGTGGATTGTTACAATATGTAAGATTGTGTGTTGTGTTACTTTATGTGATATTGTGTGGATTGTTACATTATGTGATAGTGTGTGTAATGTTACATGATGTGATATTGTGTGTAGTGTTACATTATGTGATATTGTGTGTAATGTTACATTATGTGATAGTGTGTGTAATGTTACATGATGTGATATTGTGTGTAGTGTTACATCATGTGATATTGTGTGTAATGTTACATGATGGAAGATTTTATGTAATGTTACATTATGAGATATTGTGTGTAATGTTACATTATGTGATATTGTGTGTAGTGTTACATTATATTATATTGTGTGTAGTGTTACATCATGTGATATTGTGTGTAATGTTACATGATGTGATATTGTGTGTAATGTTACATTATGGAAGATTTTATGTAATGTTACATGATGAGATATTGTGTGTAATGTTACATTATGTGATATTGTGTGTAATTTTACATTATGTGATATTATGTGTTGTGTAACTTTATTTGATATTGTGTGTAGTGGTACATTATGTGATATTGTGTGTTGTGGAACTTTATGTGATATTGTTTGTTGTGTAACTTTATGGGATATTGTGTGTAATGTTACATCATGTGATATAGTGTGTAGTGTTACATTAAGTGATATTTTGAGATGTGTTACATCATGTGATAGTGTGAGTAGTGTTACATCATGTGGTATTGTGTGTAGTGTTAAATTATGTGATATTGTGTTTAATGTTACATTATGTGCTATTGTGTGTAATGTTACATGATTTGATATTGTGTGTAATGTTTCATTATGTAAGATTTTGTGTAATGTTACATTATGAGATATTGTGTGTAATGTTCCATTATGTGATACTGTGTGTAATGTTACATTAAGTCATATTGTGTGTAGTGTTACATGATGTGCTATTGTGTGTAATGTTACAATATGTGATATTGTGTGTTGTGTACCTTTATGTGATATTGTGTGCAGTGTTACATTATGTAATATTGTGTGTAGTGTTACATAATGTGATATTGTGTGTAATTTAACATTACAAACAATATCACATGATGTAACCCTACACACAATATCACATGATTTAACATTACACACAATCATGCGATATTGTGTGTAATGTTCCATTATGTGATACTGTGTGTAATGTTACATCATGTGATATTGCGTGTAGTGTTACATCATGTGATATTGTGTGTAATGTTACATTATGTAAGATTTTGTGTAATGATACATTATGTGATATTGTGTGTTGTGTAACTTTATGTGATATTGTGTGTTGTGTAACTTTATGTGATATTGTGTGTAGTGTTACATTATGTGATATTGTGTGTTGTGTAACTTTATGTGATATTGTGTGTAGTGTTACATGATGTGATATTGTGTGTAATGTTACATGATGGGATATTGTGTGTAGTGTTACATCATGTGATATTGTGTGTAGTGTTACATCATGTGATATTGTGTGTAATGTTACATGATGTGATATTGTGTGTAATGTTACATTATGTGATATTGTGTGGATTGTAACAATATGTAAAATTGAGTTTGATGTGTAATTATGTAAGATTGTGGGCAATGTCAAAGGTTTAGATTTTGAGATAAGGAGTCACGGTAGTTTATTGGTAGGACGCCGGGCTCATGCCCGAAGGGTTGCGGGTTCGAGTCACGGCACGGCACGGCACTGTGTTGTATCTTTGAGCAAGGCACTTTACTCCGCTTTTAGTCTACTCAGCTGTAAACGAGTACGTGGTTGGGCAGTGCTACAAATGTTGAATGCTAGCTGTCAGCGCCGAAATGGCAGCTTCGGCTGTAAGCTCCCAAGGGAGTTGAGAAAGATACTGGCTGGTTGCAAAGGCCGTATAACCACGGATAGCTGTGAGCGCCGAAATGGCAGATCCGGCTGTATGCTCCCCAGGGAGTTGAGAAAGATATTGGCTGGTTGCAAAGGCCCTATAACCATGGATAATTATTTGTGAACCGCTTTGAGACGACCTTCGAACTAGGTTGTGATAAAGTGGTACATAAGAACCTCGAATTACTATTATTATGTATTGCAAAGTTCAAATCAGCACATTTATTTCTATCTATGGGTGTTATTAAAAAAAATCGCACATAATATTTCTATTGGCATGACAAATACACACTGTACATGCATAATGATATCAAAATGTTGTTATTAAAATATAGATATATATTAACTGTAAGACGAAAAGTGTCTATTAGTGTGTTATACACAGAGGAACATTGCATAATCTGATATGTATGCTTTACTACCAGAATATCACTTTAATAAAGAAAGTTCTGTATTTCGTTAACCCTGTCTAAATGGACTATGAACTTCGATAAACACGTTCTTCCTTCATATTTTTCTTATAAGATATTTCATTTGATCGAAACTGTTATGTCCTGACAAAGGGGGCAATTGCGTGGAAAATTTTGTAATATCCATTGTTTATTAAAAGAAAATTGGGGGGGGGGGGGGTTGTTTTGAAAACGTAACGGGATGACGTTAACAAAGAATTGACAGAAGAGGAGTATCAATAGTAGCGTGAACGGCATGAAAGCATAATATGTGTACTGTATACATGTATGTATGTATGCAAATTACATTTGTGATGTATTATATAAATGACTATTGTATTATAAAAAAATGTTTTGAAAAATATGTATAAAATAATGTTACGTACTCACCTATTAGTTTGGTGAAGAGAAGCTGTTTCGTCTTGAACCCGTACGGTTGTTTTAAGTGTATGTATGCCATGCTGCTTCAGGCAATTGTATTACACTATAATGTACGTGAATTGTCGTTCGACCCAATTATCAATTTAACATTGATATGCCACTTACGCCTACAGAGTCCTCCATTACAATTGGTTTCGCATGAATGAATGACATATATATCTTTATTCCAAAGCGATTGCATATAACGATTGATACAAGGACAAAATTGCCTTGATCTATATAGGCTAGAGTAATATCTTAAAAGAATAGATATTATATACGAATCCTTATCCTATGACCACCCGCTGGTATGTATACCGTTTTAGTTGATAGAATCTATTAGAAATGTATAAGTTTCTAGCTAAATAAAGAGGTTTAATAATTTTGTTAAAATCTTGCTAATCGTAAATTACTAATTAATATGTTTGAAATGAAGACAAGCATGCAAAATGAACTATTATGCGCTCGTTACATATGCAAGACCACACACTTGTGTTTTTCTAACGAATCAGAAAGCACGAGTTTATTGCGCGGACGAATATATCCGTCCGCGCAATAAATGAGTGCTTTCTAAATCGTTAGAAAAACACAAGTGTGTGGTCTTGCTTTTATCACATACCTTCCGTATTTGGTAGAGATCGATACAAAGATTTTATAAACTTTGATATTTTTTGCAAATACCGGAAACTTTTCAGTTCGCCATGACAAGGGGATTCCCATAAAATGTAGTTCAGGCTAGTAGGTAAATACAACATTCCGTATTGCACATTTGCAATACAGAACGTTGTATTTAATGGTCTGAAAATTGCTTGTATTACTATAACAAGATTCAACAGGTATGTGATAAAAGGGTATATTTGAAGATGCCGTCGCCCATTGTTGTTCGGTTATATGTGCTGATAGTTAGATTAGGAAATTTGCGGGATATCCTTTTAATAATTTTGTAAATAAATATTCCGTGTGTGTTCACGTATCTTTCAACCAGGGAGACAGATATAGCCAGGCTATAGTATGGCTGCTGGCTGTGTACACCAGGAGCTAGCCTTAGTGTTCGTTTAAACATATTTTATTGTACAAATATACAAGTGGATTGGACAACAAGTTATTACAACTTAATATAAAGTCCTCTCCTAAATACATATGGTAAATACAATGTATATGTTTTTTGGGTGAACGGGAGGAGGATAGGGTGGAGAAGGAAGGATGTGGAAGTGTGTGTGGGGAATGGGGGGTTACCTAGAAAAGAAATCGTGTAAGCTGTGAAAAGGATCCGCATTTGAATAAATTATACAAAATTTCATGACATGCAGCCCGGTATAGTAATTTTATAATGAACAAGATCAATGTAACAAAGAAGTCAGGCAAAATAATGAAATGCAATTTCATAAACATATATAACAGCGTACACATATAAGTAAAAATAAGGAATGATAATTATAATTATCAAAACATATTGCTGGATTTGATGCAATGATGCACGTGTCTAAAAAAACTTTTTAAATTTATTTCTACCGAAAGTTGAGTATTACCAAACAAAAGAAATTCTAAATCAAAATCAACATACAAGGCATTCAAATTGTGGACCAGGATGCGTCTTGCGTCGTTATAAAGTAAGCTCTCATAAACAAAAGTGAAAGGCATTTTCACAGGGATGGCCACAATTACAAACTGGACTATCAACAAGATTTACCCTATACAGATCATATTTAAGTTGACTACACTGATATCTAAGTTTTGTATGCAAAATGTTTAATTTACGTTCACCGAAACCTAAGTAGACTGGCGGAGGAGATAGTACGTTTGAAGTTAACGAGTTTTTAAAAGAATGTAAAGAAGTCAATGATCGTACTGAAAGGTCCAATGAATTCTAACTGCGAAGAGTCGAAGGTATAAAAGATGAATTTGTTAGAGAAAGCCTGAAAGGAAGAAATCTATAGTCATTATTGTTTCTAAGGGTGTTACGGTTATTTTCATCAACGCTAGACGGCAATAGATCATTTAAATAGTCCGGAGTTAATTTATTGTGCATCTTATACAAAAGCTTAAGTTTTCTGCGTTTTCTTTGATTCGAAAGAGTTTCTAGACCAGATTCAAAGGTAAATCTTCGATTCTGGCATAAGAACGAAGTCCAGTAATTATACGAATAGCTTCTCTTTGGGCTTTCTCTAACATTTCTGTTTCATAAGTTGTACAACCATCCCACAATTCACAAGCATATTCTAAAACTGGTAAAATAAAGGATTTATAAATCTTTAAAAGATTATCTCGATTCAATAAGTATTTGAGTCTACGTAAGACGTTGACTTTTTTCATAGCTGAAGTATATATTGCACAAATATGATCCCCCATTTTGCCCTTGAATTAGAAATAACACCTAAATGTTCATGATGATCAGTAAAATTTCAAAATTCGCCATTAAATTCTTAATCTTCATTAATTTCAACCGAGTTTTAAAAAAAAATCGTACTTTTTTCCTGGATTGAATGTTACTAACCAAGTTTGGGACCATGCATTAAGAGACTCGAGATCTCTATTGAGAACCGTTTGGATTTCTAGACATGAAGAGGATGATTTTAACAAAGAAATATCGTCTGCAAAAAGACGAGCGGTGGACTCAAAAACATCAGCAATATCATTAATATAGATAAGAAACAAAAAGGTCCAAGAATCGAACCCTGAGGAATACCTGCTTCAATGAAACCTAAGTGGGAGTAAGTATTATTCAAAAAGATTTTCTGGTGCCTCTGAAATAGCTAATTTTCCAACCATTGATAAAATTCTCCTCACATTCCATAAGATTTTTACCTAATCATCAAACCCCTATGCCAAATCCAAACAAACGCCTTAGAAATATCGCAGAATACCATACATACATGTTGTATTTCCTCTACAGCAATACAGATGTTATGATAAATTTCAATGAGTTGATATACAGTAGAATGACCAGGAAAAAACCAGACGGATACTTATAAGAAAATGAGTTTTCAATAAAATAATTATGCAAGTATTTGCAAATTACTCTCTCAAACACTTTGCCAACTGAAGCTAATAAAGAAATTGGTCTGTAATTAGAGGGAGAATGCCTGTCACCTTTAAACAGAGGCATAACTTTGGCTGTTTTCCAAGTGTTTGGGTAAACACCAGACGATAAAGACATATTACAATTATTTCAAGGGGAACACAAACGTTTCTGATGTGTTTCGTAGCATATGATGACTGATTCCATCTTCACCTGAGGCCTTACCAAGCTTCAATATCTGTAAAATATCTCGTATTTCATTATTATTGACTCTAATGTACATGTCAGTTTTTGGCTCAATGAAAGGAACCGCAGTATTTCTGTCATCCACGCGAGTAATATTGCAAAAATAGTCGTTTAATAAAATAGCTTTGTCTTCGTCACTAGTAACCACATTATCAGAAACAGGATCTACAAGAGTAGGTATAGATTGTGTCGAACTAGACGATTGTATTAACCTTTTGACGAGTCTCCAAAAAGCTTTTGGATCAGAAGATGAGTACTCTTCAATAATACCATGAATATTTTAATAAAATAATTTACGGGCATACTTTTTCATGTTATTAACCTTATTCCGTTGATAATTGAATTTGTTGATGTCCGAAAGATGTATGGTTGACCTCGCAATTTTATGCAACTTATCTCTAATTTTTATTGTTTTTCTTAATTCAGAGGTCATCCATGGTTTATCATTAGGTCTCATAGTTATATTTATCTAAATGCATTTCCTCCTTCTGCTGTAAACAATTGGAATTCTCTTCCATTACATATTAGAAATAACCCTTCCATTTCCCATTTAAAAGCCTTTCTGAAATCTAATAGTAAATCATGTCCACGTGGCTTCATACTACTTTCAGGGTTCACGTCTGGGTCAAATCTACCACGCAAGACTGCGTATGTCATGTAGCTCCCTAAAAGAACACTTGTTTGCGAAAAACATCAAACCATCCCCGAATTGTTCCTGCGGTGCCATTGAGAACTCAACACATTATTTGCTAAAATGTAGCACTTAGACAGCTTCATATTCTGAGTTTGCCCAATCAACTATCAACTAATCTTTTAATCTTTGGTGATGACTCTCTAACCCATCAAGATAACACTACGATTTTTCTAGCCGTCCAAAATTATATACTCAAAACTAAAAGATTTCAAATAAACGAATAGTCCTTAACAATTTCATTTTGACATATATATATATATATATGTATGTTGTGTTGCATTCGTTTTACTACTATGTTTTAAAATGTATTTGGACTTATATGCTTATTCAGTGATTTTGCCATTGCATTTCTTTATACCATATTATGTCACTAACTCGCCATGATTATGATTGTTTGATAAAAGTGATGTGTTACCTTGAAAGAGCAGGACGTACCAGGGACGAGGCGGGAAAGTGTTTTATGGACTTATATTTGATAAGTGTGATGGCTAGTATGTGAACTGCAACGTTTTTAATAATCATGGCGGTGCTTTGTGACATACTAATTTTGTCAATAGTTGATTTAGTGGTGATTTATTCTATGTAACTTGTATATACATTTTAACCTTTTTCGAGTGTCCACTTACAGGACTGCTGACATTTTCATCTACTATTCTATTGTTATATTTTACAGAATCGTGTTCCACATACTCATCGCAATAGAGCAATATGATATTACCATCTGATGATCATATGTATATTGATATGTTATTCATTCCTGGTTTCCACTGCATACCAAACCATTACCCCCTCCCCTATTCCCGTAATTATTCTATTGTACATATTACTTCATTCTTGTAGCTAGTGTTGAAAAGCTGATTACTAAGCAGGTAACAAATTTACATAAGTGTCACGACACTTGTTTTTGTTTCCTTTTCTGTTTTATAAAACATGTATTTCGATGTATTGTCAAACAAAATTTGAATAAAACAAAGTTTAAACCAATAACAAAAACATATTAGCAGCAAGTGAACCAGAATTTTGATCGTTTAGTAAACATTAACTGTACAAGCAAAATTCTGTAGATAATTGATATTTGGCTAAATTGGACGTAATTTCTTCGGTGGTTAATATATATAAAAAAAAGGTCAACACGACATGACAATATATACATGTACATGGAAGTGATATATATATAATCGGGAATACAGAGTCTCTAGCACCGGCGCGCAATCACACATCAACCAATATTGAACCGATATTTGTTGAAATATAGGATCTTTCTATAACACCACCAATATTGTTATCAATCACAAGTGTGTGACACTCAGCTCATGTCATTTATTTTCTCAATATTATTGTATTCATATGGGACAGTCTCATTGTCGACAGGTATGGGCAGGATTTACCTGGACGGGGGAGTGATTTGTATTCGGTGTGAATTACCAGTCACTAAGATACAATTATGTTTCAGACTATTGGGGCATGGGTTTTAGATTCATCACTGCACAGTAACAAAAATGACACAATGTAAGGTCAACACGACCGCTCATATAATACCAGTTGCACTGACATCGTTTGCTAAAGTTTCCATTCGTGTATTCAGACACAAAGTGACAAATAGTTACACACAAATAGTATTCCGTCTTTGCGTATTGTAGAGTTATCTTCTCTTGGGAGCACGTATTTATTGTACGTGACTTGTTTGTGAGAGTAACGTCATCAATATTTGAGAAAACGACGTAATTTTCTCACACAAACCAATGACGTAACAATCAATACCTGCTCCCAAGAGAAGATAACTCTGCAATACGCAAAGACGGAATTCTCGCACGCGCGAAACGTCACACGCACAGGAACATCTGCACGTGTTCAAAATGGCCAGAAGTTGATTCTGCTAATTTGAGGATAAGATACACCTCTGGTAGAGTTTGAAAATATACGCACTGTATACATGTAGTTTATAAGTGCAGCAAATGGTACAGTGCCTTCCTTTGTCAGCACACAAGGGACATACGAATGTAACATTCATACAGTGAGCGTTCGCAAAAACGGGTACACGAGTGGAAAGGGTTATGCATTGACAATTATTACGATGTAAATGAAATTCAAATTATGTATATGGTTGGAATATTTTCAGAGACAGTCCATTGCAATGATTATATCATCTTCAAAATAAAAACAAAATGCAAATTTTGAACAAGTATATATATATATACGTATATAGGATCACATGGATCAGAATATAGCCACTGTCTATAACGTTAACGTCGCCGCTTGTTATAAAAGTTAACGCCTTACAGCGGACGCGTATGGAGAAGTGTTTCTTGGCGTGTAGGTGTATCCAGGAATCAATTTGGTTATGTCACTAAATGTGCAGATAAGCCCTATGTTTGACGTCTCAAGTATTTTAAGAAAGATTCGTCCGTCGCGTGTCCAAAATGAGGAAAGTTTGTTACTATCACGCAGTTTGTTGAGCTCGTTGATAATAAGTTGTCTTCTCTTTGTCAATGATTCAACTATCATAGTTCCATTTCGATTGCCTCTTAGTGCACTTTTTTGGTCAAACACACGTTGGCGGTCATTAGTAACGCACGAAACGCATGCTAGCCGTTGCTTTGCCGGCTTTAATTGGACCAAGTATGTGGCACCTAGAAATGGATTGTTATGTAATGTCTACGTTTAGAGTTTTATTACAAATATCAAGAATTACCGGTAATGGGTCGAAAGACTTGTTACTCTGAAAACCTGGGACAGGAATGATTATAAATTTCAAACACGTACGTCGTGAATACTGATTACGTTCGTCTAGTGTGTCGTCATGATTAACGGCCTTGTCCTCTAGTTGCGTTACTCGTTCACGGAGCAGTTTTATTTCATTGGCCTGCGTCGACAGTTTCTCGTCAAGTCACCTGGTAGAAGTATTGGTTAGGACGCTCTCAACTTTGTCACCAATAGCGACATTCATGTATAGTAGATTTTAAATTTGCTTCGAGTGTAGTCTGAATAACCTGTGCTACTGTGGTGGCGACTGGCTTGATTAGGGCCTGGACGAGTCCATTAATAAATTCAGGGTCGGATATTGTTGATTGAAGCATGTTTGTGAGGTCAAAGTGATGTTCGGGTGGAATATTTTTCACTGCCCAGGTTCTGCCTGTAGCGAGTTATCTGGAGAAATTTCATTTGTTGTCGTTTGGCTCTATAAGTGGATAGAGGTGTGCTGAAATTAACTACCTCGTCATGGGTGATGTGGCCAGGTGTGCTAGTAGGTTCTCTTACCTGTAGCGATGAAATGGACTGGTCTCAAGAGCATTAATGATGCCTTTCATGACGATGTTAAATCACTAAGGTCATTTATCAAAGACTGCCTTATTTTCCGTAAGGGGCGTCTACCATGACTTTCCAGTAAACGTTAGTTTAAAGCTACCTCTATAGCAGTCATTGCAATACCAGTAATCTCATTATCCACTTATCAATAACTGAAAAGCTTGTCTGTCCATTGTTGAGTGATGATTATAAATTGACATTTATCTCTTTTGTTTCAATTGCATGTCAATTTGACCGCTGATAGACAAACTTATAACACAGGGTTCCCATACATGCAAATTGTCAATCAAGAAACAGTAAGAATTTTGGTCGCATTGCGAAATATCCTTTGTCCTTCTGCGATATTAAAGTCAATGTCTGACTTTGCTAAGAAGTCTGTTTTGTGGTCTTGTTGGCAGTTCTCGTTTCGACGTTGTGACATTTCTTGAATTTGAGGTCGATTTACATATCGAGAGTAGACATTAAAACAGAAGACGTTAACATTTTTTTTTCATAGTTTGCCATAATTTTATCGATTTTGAATTCGAATAAAAACATAAAAAGAGAATAATCAGGAGTTTTGGAAAGTAGGTAAGTTTCTTCATCGATAACAGTCGTCATATCAATCAAATTCAAATGCAAGTGATGTCATGTTGTTAAAGAATAATTGTGGCAATGCCAACAAATCAAAATAATCACTCATGGGCATAATACATTAGTCTATAGCACGCGACCAAAAATAATCCCCATGAGATCATAAAACACGAACCTGCAGCACTTCTCCAATGAAACACACATTGAGAACAAAACAGTTTATGATAATGGTATTGCAAATCAAGCTTTGAGCTTCGTTTCACCTTTGCGCATTTCACCTCTATACGTTTATAAACTGCCGATATCAAAAGTGATCCATTTAACCAAGCTAAAGCGTTAAAGCTTTTTCTATTAGCGCAATAAGTTTGATTCTCTTTTCATAGTTTTCAACATATGTTCAAGAACACTTTAGACATTCTTGAATTCTTTGTTTTACCTTCTGCACCTATCAACAAAAGTTTCCAATAGGTGTCTAATTGTTCATAAACATTCAAAATAAACACACAAAAAATATGCCATCGTCCAGTGCTTTTCTTCTTAAAGACACATAATAAGTGCCATTAATTGTAATTATGAAGTGAAATAACAAATCAAAAACTTTTAGATATAAATTTAATTTCACATCCACGATATATTTTAGAATATTAGAGAGATTGCCATATAAGACAACTGTCAATGACAACAGCACTTACTGATGGTTACAACAACGTTAAGGCAGACGGATGACTGGTAATAAAGATGAATGCAATAACAAATATACGAAGGAAAGTCGGTAAACGTCAGTTGTGAAACAGGCGAAGATTGTATCAGTTATATGTGAACGCGAAGGCTGTTTCGACCTTTACAAACACTTGCATAAGAAAATCGGACAAAATGGCGGTGAGTGATGGCAGTTCAGGTCACACCAGGCGTCATCGATGTTAGAAATAGATATACAGCTGTCACCAGGTCGGTGGTCGGTGGTGGGAGGGATGGTAGACGGGGCAGAAGTGGTGGTAGGGATATCAGTGGTGGTAGTGGTCGTTGAAGGGGAAGTTTTGGTGGTAGTTTCTGTGGTAGTAGTAGTGTTAGGGGTAGTTTTTGTGGTACGTTCAGCAGTGGTATTCGAACTAGTTGTGGTTGTACCCGTCTTTACTGGCGGGGTCGGCACATTCGGGTCTATGATCGCAATATCTGAACATGCATAGAATTCTTCCTGATCACCGCATAATTCACAATTGTCTTCGGTATAATGAATGGTGGTTGCTACAACACAAATCATAAATAGTAGTTAAGTAGGGATTACCGTACCTCTACTGACAGATCAAACTATTATATTCATTGGAAACAAAACTTTTCTCGTTTGATGGAAATATGTTTAATCTCAAATTATCAGTCATTAAAACAAATGCAACAGCCAACGATATTGATAAAGCACCAAGAAAAAAAACATTAAAATCTTTTAAATTAAGCTTACAGAAAAGAATAAACTGCAATATATTTATTGCCTAAGTTCTAAAGTGAATTAAAAAGAAAGCTATGTGAGTTAGACTAAACATTGTTTGATCGTTCTTTTGTAAGGTTGATTTGGATTTTTTGGATTTATTTTCGCAAAATCAATCATCGCACAACATAGATAAACCCTTTTATAATGCCCATACATTCGCCTGTTAATTAATGGCATTATAAGAAGATTTATATAATATGAACCTGATACATCTTACAACAATTGTGATACAAGTTATATCAATTGTTATTAGTCTGGTTAGTCAGGATAACCGCGCGGGAATGTTATATTGGAGAAAACTGAAGTACCCAGAGAACACTCACCTGATTGGTCAGGTGAACCCCATACCTTTTCACTTCCGATTGGGAATCGAACCCCGGCCGCTATTGTGAAGGTGAGTCTGTAATTCACTGCGCCACCCACCCACACGATTTATAGGAAACAGTTATAAATATCCATCTTAGTTCGACAAACCAACCATTATAATTAAATATTGTAACTTGCCTGTTCGATACCTCCATTGCAAGACGCATTGTGAACACGTCACATTCCCCGGAAGTTTTGCAGACACATCAATGGTCTGATGTGAGAGCACAACTGGGTACCTTGTCTCTCCTGTATCCGGATTGACCAACAAGTGTTTTAAGCATTTTCTTGTTATTCTAGTCGTCACATCATTATTTTCACAGAGGCGGAATTCAAAGAACCCTCCGTGATTCGATGTTAACAGTATTTTAATTTTAATGATTTCGGCCTTGTGGTAGTATTTTGAAATGATCCCTGTGGCAAACTTCCCACCAGCCTCGTTCTCTTTCGGTTCCTGTTCTAATGGGTCCCCACATAAGCCGCAATTTCCGCTCATGAAGTCTAGGGGTTGCTAAAACAAATAAATAATTTTAAATAGAATTTAGCAAGGACATAGGTTTGATATCATGAATCACTCTACTGAAATCTCAATCATATCTACACAATTATTTCGAATAATCTGTAGTCGGTAAATCAGTTTACTGACCTATCTGACGAATACTCGACAGAGTCTATTAATCAAAACACTAATACTTATTGCTATTATGTGCACTGTTTCATCAGTGATTAGCACTATCTAAATCGAAATCTTCTATTTCCATTGTCGTCTTTGATAGCATTGATACACATACCAGATATTACTAACAGCCTGGTTAACGGTGCTATTGTTTGCCCTCAACCCAAGACAACAACTGTGTATTACTTACGATACCTTATGTTGGATCCATGAAAATAGGCTCAGTCTCAACCAAAGTCGACCAGTGTATATAGCTTACATGCAGATCTCCACAGTTCAGCCCATTGTCGTCGTAGTTGCTTGGGGTACCAAAGCCAACCCGCCACATGCTGCTTCTTCCGGGTGGGTCCAACATTAGGCCATGTCCATTCACGACATCGAAAACATTTATCCATACACAAACAATGAAGGGCAATCGGATTGACAGCATATTTATAGGTTTAAAAGTTTTCAATCTGAAATCAAACACGACAATAGTATCATTTTTTATATTTCGAAACGTTCCTTTGCAATATAAGCCATATTGGACTTAGTGTATTCCATACTGATTACTGATGTGTTTTCACTTGGTAATTTAGACCGATATACTAATTCCAGGTATAGTTCTGTTTCGTTTGATTGCGTAAAATGTTATCAAAATAAAGTCGATAACTTTTACCAGATCAATTGAAAATTTTAATGAGAATATCGAATGGTTACAATGGTTCAAGTGAACCTAGTATATAATTAGTCAATAATATCATGAAATTATTTTCATTTTTCATTACATCACTTTTTCAAGTATTAGATGTTTTATGAATGGCTTTCCAAAAACAAAGTTCGCGATAATCTGAAGTCAGAAAACTGTTTGTGAATTATTATTTGTTTGGTTATTTTCTTTACTTTTTATTTTTGCTGAATTTTGGAAAAAGTACTTTACACTATTGCCATTTAATGTGTATTCCAGTTAGCACGCTCACTCGTTTAAATTCTTTTAACAATGCATACTTTGCCCTAATTGATATTGATATTTTATTCTAATAAAATCAACAACACAAACAAAATGAAAAAAACTATACTATATGACAATAAAGCAAACCCACAAAAAATATTATTTTGAAGTAACCGTTTTAACATTGAATTATATGTACTGTTTTTAGCAAAAGAAAAGAAAGAGATAAAAACAAATAGGAGAAGACAATAAAGAAGTACGTAGAAAGGAACTGATATCTTGCGACGTAACAATGGTTTACTATTATTGTAGTTATAAACATGTATGTGAAAATACTAATATTTAATATTTTATGTTGTACGTATTTTTTGCTATGGAAAGTGCAATAATCTAAAAGAAGCTTTAATAAAAGCATTTGGAATTATTAGCAAATCTAACAAATATTAGAAATCTGCTAAGAATGTTCGTACTTTTTTGCACTCTCATAATGCATGGAGTATTGTCTCTTTACAGTTTTATAACGAAAACATTAAGGATAATCAACAAGGCCTAATTAAAATAAAGATATGGTTATAAGTGCTAAACTACAGCCATTGCAATTTTGTATTTCGGGTAACTTTAAAGGGCATGGTATAGATTTGTCTCCATATTTCTTTTTTAAAATAATAAAAAAAAATCACCCCATTTCTCTCTTCCAGGCGGGATTAAATATATTTAGCATACTACTTTATAGAAATCATTATTTCCTTTTAGCTTTTAAAAAATGTTTCCAAATGTTCATATAAGGAATATCTTCCTGCGGTACGATTTTTTTATACTGTAAATGATACCTAGTATGTAAGAAAATCTGTATTAATGTTAAAGTTCTCTATAAATTCTTGATGATTGTTAAACATACCATTACCAGTTTCTTTAACTAAGACATATTTTATTATTATTATTTTTTATACATTTCCCCATAAACAACTCCTATTTTCTATCTTAACTGCCTTATTGTATCAGATCAGTATTTTTAAAATACTTTCCTTTTTTATATCCCAAACTTTTAACCTTTTAGCTGACTGACTCCAACTTGATCAGACATCTTTTCAGAAAAGATTTTTACTGTTCTGTTTACAATTTTAAAATAGCATCCTAACCACAATTAGCCAATTGTTTTAAACAATGTTATCAATTGTTCCTCTGATACATGCAGTCTACGGATCCAGGTTAATTTTAAGGAGTCTATGAAAGATCAAGTGTAACATTTTTAAATATTGTAGGTGTAACATTTTAAAGCCCCTTCACAGAAGTTTTAAATAAATTGAAAGAAATTGAAAACTTCTGTATTTAGAATTTTAATTAAAGTGTTGTCAGGGTTTGGAAAAGGGATAAAAAGATTATTTAACTGTGATATAAGAAGTGACTTGATAATTTGTATCTTTCCTTAAGGTGTTAAAATCATTCTTTTCCGTGTCTAAATTAATGACTTAAGTTTTACTAGTTTCCTATCATAGTTATTTTTTTGGATTTCACGTAGATTTACATTAAACCCCATACCTAAAACTGTTATTTTATATTTCCACTTAGAATGTGTAACTTTATTTTCTACTGTCAATCCAAACAACTTTAGTATTGCCTTTATTTACTATTAAACCAGATTTTTTATGCAAAGCTACACAGTTCATGACATGTGTCTTTCACATATGTACCGTCTAACATAACTGATGTGTCATTTGCATATTGTGATAGTGAAATAGGAGAACTATTTTTTACTTATACCTTTGATATTCTTATATAATCTAATTATTGAAGCAAATATTTCAACGCATAAAATAAATACATATGGAGCAATAGGGTCGCCTTGACGACATCCTCTCTTAATTGCAAACAATTTGTTGAAAGTATATTTTTATCCATCGTTGTAAATCAACCCAAAAATTAAAAACAAAATCAAAACTGTATTTTTAAAATTACAAATTGCAAAATCAAAAGGCTTTTCGAAATCTATGATTAAATTCATATCAGGGATTTCATTTTCTTCTGCAAACAGCATGATATCGTAAATTAACCTTGTATTTTCCCCTGGGTTACATTCGCGTATCCCGGTTGAAACGTTGAAATACTCCACGATAAACGAACCCACTTGGACCGAACTGTAGGCAGAGGTTAAACATGTATCGTTTCGGAGAATAAATAACAATACATCAAGAATAACTTGTCCTTATTTCATGCGTCCACTAAATTATATTACGTATCTTAAAATCTATATATGGATTGACATTGTTTTAGCATTTAAGTTTCGGTTAGGCACGTCTGGACTAGCGTACACGTGCCGAATATCCCTGAAACCATCATCGGTTCAGATCTGCCCCTGTCGTTTTCTTTCAGGTTCAACCGTTTCAAATGGATTAACCGAATAAGCGAAAGTGGCCCTATATACCTCCCTGCGACTAAACCTGCCTGGTTCCTATCTATTATCTTCTACTTACTTGAAAGTTATATTGGCAATGACTTCTAGTGACTTAATTGATTCTATAAGTATGGTCTCTTGGTTTGTTTTGCTGCTTTTTCTTGTATGACTAGTATGTTATTGTTTTACCTCTAATTTCTAATAAATGTGCTTATAGAAAAAGCTGGTGCTAAATTTAAAATTGAATCTCTCTAACAGGAATGTTTTTGAGACATTCAGGTATAAGGAAGAGCAAACTTGATTTTATTTCAAAAATAAGTTTATTTATTGATTCATTCATTCATTCTAAGTCATGTAGTAGTGAATTGTTCAATTTTCAAGAGACCTTTTCCTGTTTTTAAACTCATTATTTAACTGATTTTTATACCGAGTGTCACGGTTAGATATGGACTAACTTATATTCATTTAATTATACCTATCTTCAAATGAATTGTACCTATCTAACTAAAATATGTTAATTTGGCGTTCGATATATCTATGAAACGCCAAATTAACATATATTCAAATAATTGAAGGTTCAATTCAATTGAAAATAGGTTCAATTCAATTGAAGATAGGTTTAATTCAATTGAAGATTGGTTTAATTCGTCATATTTGAACCTCTCTTTAATTGGATTTTTCCTATCTTCAATTGAATTGCACCTATCTTCGATTATTTGAATATATGTTAATTTGGCGTTCCGTAGTTAGATTGCTGAAATTCCCGCTCTCAAATAGCATCAGACCTCCCGTTGCCAGCCCTATTGTTTATTTGTCTTCTGGTGTATTAATCAATAAAATAAAATAAAAGGTGCTTCAAAATGTTGATATAAAAAATACAAAGTGACTAGACAATAAACGTGCTGTGCCTAGGCAAAATGTTACTTAAATAGACTATGTGTGCATAAGTTCGGCCCATGATTACAAACAAGGCAGGTATATATACCAGGTGTGGTTTGGATCAGTATAATCAAAAAGCTACAGATCGTACTCTCGGAAATAAGGCATTTTTATAGTCCCTTCCACTAGGAGAAAAGAATTGACGTTCATGGAAAGCAAAATTAATATTTCCTGTCTTTTATTCTTTAACTGAATAAAACCACCCTCTGCAGTTATAAAGCTTCATAGTTAATTTCTTAGTGTAAGCGTACTAGCTTCAGTGAACCCCGCAGGGCGCTTGTTTTGATGTGTTTATTTGACTACAACATATGAATTTGCTTCACGGCGTGTGTGGGACATGGTTAAATTAATAAACTGCTCACGGGCTTGAACGCCTATTGTGTGAAAGTAGATCATTATCAGGTTTAGCTTTTACAGTTCTGAGTATGCGTGACTATTCAATTAGAGAGAGTCCAACAAACGTTCTGTACTTTAAAATAATAATACTGCAGTCTCGTTTTGGGACAAAGTTAGGAGAAATTGTAATAGATCTGCCAAATGTATTGCCAGATATGTTTTAAATGGAATATGTCTGTTGAAAAACGACATAAATAAACATTTAATAGCCATTTTATAATATAATGTAGTTCCAATGGTAAGGATATAAAGTGCATATTTTTTTTATGAAAAACGATGTCAGGAAAATTCATTTTTTGAAAATAAATTAACATAGAATCCAAAGAGAAAATGACGTAACGCGAAAGATGTATAGCACGTTACTGTATTTCTAGCTGATCATGCTTAAGTTCAGAAAGTAAAAAAGACAAGGATCAATTAACTCCGAAAACAAAAAGAAATAAAAAAAAAAAAGAAATTAACTCCGAAGCAATGAATAATACATGTTATGCAAATTGAATCGGCACCTAGAATGGAACACTAACCAACGACAAGAAATCGCTTCTTCGGTTTTTTAGCATTCTGAACATTTTTTGAAAGTTTTAAAAACCTCAAAAAGTTCCAATTCCATTGCCGTTTCCATTAGTATATCCTTATATATCAGAAACAGCTCACTGGAGCTTATCTCAACACACGCTCTCCTTCTTTTTCATCACTTTGACAAAGAAAATGTTGTACTTACCCCAGCCTGTTGACGAGATGTTCATAATATCTTAGGACGTTTATACTTGATAAAGTTAGTATCATGGATATTATAT